ACCCACAACTGCCCTCCCATTTTGGCCTCTAACTGCCTCTACCTCAGCCCCGCCACCATGGCTTTGTCCAGAAGAACATCCAGAAGGTCTCCTGGAAGGTCTCCCAGTCTAATTAGCATATTACCCTTTTATTAGTATAGAGGCCTGGTGCACAGGTGGGGGCCGGCTGGTTTGCCCTGAAGGGTGTCCCGAATCAGGGTGGGGGTTCCCTTGGGATGTGGGGCAGCCTGGGCGAGGGGCCTGTGGTGGTTTGCAAGCTGGCCATGCCCCCATGGGGTAAGGGTCCCCACTGGGGGGCGGGGGGGGCGAGGCCAGTCTGGGTGAGGGGCTGAGGGCTGTTTGCAGGCTGGCCACGGCCCCTGATGACCCAAGCTCCCAGCTCCTTTTTAGTTTCAGTGCCTCCTTGAGTGGAGGGAAGCAGGTATCTGGGATGTATTTATCTTCTATAATTGAAACTTTGTAGCCTTGAGCGGAGCCCATGGCGGCCAGGGTGGGTGGGAAGCTTGGCTTCCTCCTTTGCCGGAGGAGGTGGGGGCAACCCAAGCCTCCTGTTCTCTCCAGCCCCATGACCACTGCCATCTTGGTTGGGTTAATTTGCATACTCACTCCTGATTGGCTGGTGGGTGTGGCTTGTGGGTGTGGCAGAGGTACAGACAATTTGAATGTTTCTCTTTTATTAGATAGGATAGGGTGTGCCAAAAAATGTGTACACACTTTGAAAAATTGTTCATTCCAGTGGGTTAAATCTGAAAAGAGAGAAACATCAATTGAGCTATTGGGAAAAAAGTGTGTATACATTTTTTGATACATCCTGTATACATGAGAAAAACATATACCTTCTAGTCAGAAAAATTAGTGTGATTGAAAAGAAAATGTCAAAAAGTTAAGGGAAAAATATGTGTTCTGCAAAAGAAAAGGGGATAGAGCTGAGGCAATAAGCAGCTGATGAAGTCAAGCTAGAAAGTGATTAATCTAAGTGAAAAACTCATGCATCCCTTCTTTCTCCATGGAAGATACATGAAGCAGTTGGAGCAGCAGATTCTAGATATAGGCAAAGACTGGGCATTCTAACAAGCTCTTTGTCCATGGCGATTTTTTCCTAAACACCAGTTCCTCCACCATTCTTCTTGGATAGACAGATTTACTTTCTTTTTTATTTTTATTATTTATTTATTTATTGTGTTTTAATTATAGTTGACATTCGATATTATATTAGTTTTGGGTGTACAGCATAGTGTTTAGATGTTTATGTAACTTATGAAGCTATTCCCCCTGTAACTCTATTACCCATCTGACCCCATACATAATTATTACAAGATTATTGACTGTATTCCCTATGCTATACTTTACATCTCCTGACTATTCTGTAACTACCAATTTGTAATTAATCCCTTCATCTTTTTCACCTGATGCCCGCTCGCCATCCCCTCTGGCAGCCATCAGCTTGTTCTCTAAATCTGAGTTTGTTTCTGTTTTTAGATTCCACATATATGTGAAATCATATGGCATTTGTCTTTCTCTGACTTATTCCACTTAACATAATTACACTGATTTATTTTATATATACCTTTTCCCCATCAGTGTCAATTTCAGTTTACGTACAGGTGGGCCATTAGTAATTTCTTTTAGGAATAATTATTTTAAAAAAGGACATAGTAAGAAACATAAGTAAGGACATTTGTGAAAATAAAAAGTGATGGATAACAGTAGAGAATTGAGATTTTTTTTTTTTTTGCAGTGTAGCCTGAGATTTCCAACACATTTTCAGAATTAAAATGTCAAGTTATGGACCAGGATCAAGTTTATTCTGTGATTATGGAGTGGGTGGGTGAGGAAAAGACACTAGGGAATGGGCAGTGTACTTGAGTAGAAAATACACCTGGTGGTGAGTTTGTATTAGTAAGAAACCCAAGTAATTCTACTACCACTATCACTAATAGTACTGCTGTTGCTAACTCTATGTGCCAAGCTATATTCCAAGAATTCACTGCAACCATATGAGGTTGATGCTGTGTTCATCCCTGTGTTACAAGTCCCGGGCAGTAAGGAAGTAAGTAATTTACCTGAGGCCACACAGCTCTAAGTGACAAGCTGGGTTTGAGTCCAAACTGATCCCAGAAGCACACTCTTACCACCACGCTTACACAGCCTCTCCTGCAAACAAGTGTTTCCAGAAGGTGAGGGACGTGGTCATTCTGAATGGCTAGTGTGTACTCGAATGTGTTGTTTTCATTCTCCTTCCTCTGCTCATTCTGTTTCCCTTGTCTTGACGGTCTCATTCCACATGGCTAACTCTTCATCCTTCAGGCCTCAGCCCAGGGGTCATCATGCTCTGCACAGCTTTCCAGAACCCTCCTCAAGGAGTGGGGCCCCTCTTGTCGAAGCTTTGCTTCACTTCCACTTGGAGGCCCTGGGTGACCCCTCTCTTGGATGCACCAATAGTGCGCTCTCATAAAGCCTGTACCTCGCTCTCCCAAGGGGCTCACCACCTTGCCTTCTAATCATTCTTTTATGACTCTGCCTCACCCCCTAGACAGAAACTTCCTGACGGTGAGGACTAGTATATTCACCATGATATTCTCAGTGTCTCAGACATAGCAACTACTTAAATGTTTGATGAATGAATTAATGAGTGAATATACATGTTAAAATGTCACGTATAGAAGTATGTTATTTCCACTTTTCAGGCCTGATGCTTTACAATCTTTCCTTCCCCCTTACTTCTCATTAAGCTTGGAGCTGTTCCTGAAGCCCACCTTGTGTGTACCAATATCTGTGAGATTACTTACACACTGTTCCTGGTGCTTTTTCCTTCCCAGGATTGTACCAGATCTCTATTGGTCCCCAGGAAGGCTTCCCAGGTTGCACAAGTTGGAATGAGTCTTTCTCCTGTGTTACTTTTGAAATCTCTGGTACTGAAATTGTCTTTCTCCCCCAAAGATGCCAGATGCTGAAGGTGAGGATTGAGTCATACTCATTTTTGTGGCTCTCTAGAAACTACCATAAGCCTGGCTCTAATACATGTTTAACAATTTGGGATAGCCAAAAAATAATACGTTTCATGTTTAGAACTTCAGGTCCTTTATTTAGTTGCATAAGACTTGAGTGATTACTAAGAAAAATAATTACTCCAATGGCCCTGCTTTAATCTCATCGCATAGCCTTCATTTAAGCACAAGGTTTTATGATCAAAACATAAAAGTCCTTAGCTAGTCTGAACATAAGTAGATGATGTTCTTATCACTATTAGAAAAAATATCCCCCGTTACCATCTGAGGGTAATATAGTTGCATGTGTGGTAAATAATCAGATTAATGAATTCTTAAAAGTAAACAAGTCCAGCTTGTTATATCTTTGTTAGGTGAATTTCCAAAGATTTGGGAGGACTGTAACATAAACTCTGAGACTGATTCATAATTCCCATGATAACAACATGGAAGTAGCCCACTAAGCCACTTCAGGCCATGAGGAGATCGTTTCTAGTGAGTAAAGTACTTCTGACAAGTGACTTCTCAGGCTAACCTCTACACACTTAGGATTGATCCTTTGTTAATGAGCTCTTGTAAACCTGTGGGTGTATAAGGGATGCAGACCACTAAAGCAAGTGAGAAATCTCAGCTGCTCAGTGGTCAGGTTAACAAGACATGATGTATACTTCCCTGACTTCCAGTTATTTCACATGGTATATTTTATTACTTAGAGATTCATATAATATTTACTTCTGTTGTAAGCTGCTAGTCAAAGCAGTAAAAAAAAAAAATGCAAAGCAAACAGTTCATGATTTGAAATAACATGAACACAATTCTCTTCATTGCTCGTGAATAAAATGAACTTCAGTAATGGAAACATCTTTTATGTTAAAGTAATTTTGTTGGCAATGCCTTGAGCATTATTGGTCTAATGTGAGATCTTATTTCCCCATTAACTTATAGCCACTCTACTTGATGATTTGCAATACTCCATCTGAAGGAAATAAAAATCACACTCCTTTTGAGGCATGTTAACATTCACCAAATGTTAACTGCACATCTTCTTTTTTTTCTTGCCATTTTTGTGCAGGATACTGGGATTGCCAGGTAGGCACTCATTCTACTCTCTTGAAGCTTACCGCCTAACAAAGGGGAAAAAACAACAATGATGACAGCATTGCAATGCATTATAATAGAGATAGGCATAGTCAGAGTGGAAGAGGCATCTGAATTAGGGGTTAGGAAAGGCAAGGCATGGGAGTGGAAAAGCATAAGGAAGGTTCCCCAGAGGAGATGCTGAGCTGAATTGAGGTTAGCAAGGGAATAAAGAGAGGAAGGGTGCATTAGTTTCCTAAATCTGCCATAACAAAATACACTAACTGGGTGGCCTGCCACAGCAATAATTTATTTTCTCATTGTTCTGTAGGCTGGAAGTTTAAGACCAAGGTGTTGGCAGGGTTGGTTTCTTCCAGTGGCTCTGAGGGAGAATCTGGTCCATGTCCTTCTCCTAGCTTTGGATGGCTGCCAGTAACCCTTGGTGTTCCTTGGTTTGTAGATGTATCACTCCAGTCTCTGCTTCTGTCTTCACAGGACCTTTTCCCCCATGTCGGTGTCTATGCCTAAATTTTTCTCTTCTTATACCAGTCATATTGAATGTAGGGCCCACCCTAACCCAATCTGCACTTGATTATATCTACAAAGACCCTATTTGCAGTTAAGCTCACAGATTCACAGGTTCTGGATGGGCCTGAATTTTAGGGAACAGTATATAACCCAGTACAGAGGGCATTCAAGGAACAGGACGCATCCTGGAGGAAGGTGGAGAGGTTTTGATCAACCACAGGTCCTTCTCAGTGGTTGGATTGAAAGGCAATGAGGATCCCAAAATGTTAGGAGGATTAAGAGGTAACAGGAGCCTCATCACAAAGAGCTTGTGTGCCAAGCTCAGGAATGTGAGCTTCCTCAGGAAATCTGTGGGTGTTACTGAAGGATTTTGATCCTGAGAGTTCCATGATCACATTTGCATTTTAGAAAACCCTCCAACAGCAGTGTGGAGAATTGAAGAAGGTACAGATTGGAGGCAGAGAGATTATATAAGAAGCTCTTGAAATAATTATGGCAAGAAATAGTAAGTACCCGTATTATATCAGCAATAGGAAGACTAGAGAGAAGGTGGTAGATGGAGATATTAAAAAGGAAAGATGTAGCCCTAGCCTGATTGGCTCAGTGGATAGAGCCTTGGCCTGAGGACCAAAGGGTCCTGGGTTTGATTCTGATCAAAGGCACGTACCTTGGTTGCAGGCTGCTCCCTGGCCTGGATCCTGGTCGGGGCACGTACAGGAGGCAACGAATCGATGTGTTTCTCTCACATCAATATTTCTCTCTGCCTTTCCCTCTCTCTTCCACTCTTGCTAAAAGATCAATGGGAAACTATCCTCAGGTGAGGTTTAACAAAAATAAAAAGATAAAAAAGAAAGATGTATAAAACTTGGTAGTGTTAGATATT